AAAAAAAAAAAAAAAAAAAAAAAAAAAAAAAAAATATCAATAACAACCTTCTGAGATTTATATGAACCCTGTATCATGAAATTTAAAATATATATATCCAAATAGCCATGGAGTTCAAAGACAGTGCCTGCTGTTTTTAAATGCATTCTGCTCAAATTGCTTTCACTATTAGGAAATTAATTTTTGAAATTCCCCAACTCCATAGAATCAAGGACCAGTACAGAGAGGTGGATTGGTTATAAAATTATAAAATTAGTGACATTAAAAAATAATTGTCAATGCCCTAAAGACTGCTGTAGTTGAGGAAATGGAAAGTTTGGGAGTAAATGGAGAAAAATGCCATTCATTACCTGGAAAACTGAACTTCTCATGAGTTTTTTTGAAGCAGTCTCCATGTTGCCAGTGTCTTCAAATCAGTCGCCCCTGCCTGGAAAACAAGACATTTCAAACATTTTGTAAGTGGGTCAGGAATAAACTTACAAACCTTTGTTTGTTTCTCAGTTAGCTTCTTTTTTGTCTCTCAATTCTTTTGTAAGTTAAATCGTAAGTAGCCTCAGGTGAAAGATAAAAAGAAATATTAAAAAAAAAAACCTAAATCTATTCCTAGAAAAAAAAACCCAACACTGGGGCATGCCATGCTTATTTCTAGAATGGCCCATAATAAAAATGTTCTGCAAATAAGTAACTTCACATCTCCCAACCCCTGGAAATTCCCTGGCTACCAATGGACTGTAAAAAGGACTTTTTCCAGGAAAATCATCAAATAGGAATGTGAAGTCTCAGAATATTCCCAAATTCCCATGTTTTCTACCAGACCACTTGCTTAATAAAACATGGCAGTAGAGAGGCCACTAATAGTTAGGGATGGGAAGGCATCATGGGCGCATAGGGTGATGACGACTTGGCATGAAGTAGCCCCACCCCCACCCCTCATCCCCGCCCCAGAGAATATTCTAACTTTCTAATTGCTCATCAGCTTGGGAGTTATCTTGTCTCTACCAACAAAGGCTGTGCCAAAGGAGCAGATATCTCACAGTGATTGGTTCCCAAGTCTGTCCCTCCTCTCCCACAGCAGGGCTCTTGGCTTGGGTTCCCCTGTCCTTTCGTGCTCCTACCAGCCACTGTTTCGACTGAGAGTTTGCCTTATTCCTGTTCCTTCCCTAGGGGAAGGGAGACCCACTGTGTGGCTCCTTGCTGACGAGGGCTCTAAGGTCTGCACATCTTTGGACTGGAGCGTCAAGTCTGTGGTGATGTCAGCAGCCCTGTGCCTACAGACAGGTGGTGTTGCCTCCCCCTTTTGAAGCTGCCTGTCCTACAGACATCCTTCATTCTGACATGACAGGGACAGTATCCTGGGTGTTCTTTGATGGAGAAAAGAAGGAGGGGGTGAGAAAAAGGGAAAGGGAGACTAGTAGAAAGAAAGAGGGAAGCAGGGAGGGGGAAGCAAGATAGAGAAAAAGAGAACGAGGAGGAGGGAAGGGGAGGAGCTTGCTCACACAGGCCCTTCAGCATTCACTGTGGCACCCAGCATCATGAAGCAGGGAGAGGTTTTGGCCTCCTGCAGCTTCTCTGTTTTTCTAATGTCCTGTCTTTTACTCTCTGAAGTCTCTCTTTTGTGTGTGCCTGTGTGTTTTTATGTGTGTCTGCATTACATGTGTGTCTGTGTGTGTCTGTCTGTCTGTGTGTCTCTGTGCATGTATGTATCTGTGTGTGCGCCTGTGTCTGTCTGTGTGTGTGTGTTTGTGTGTATATATGTGTGTCTGTGTGTATACGTGTGTATGTCAGTGTATCTATGTGTATGTGTGTATCTGTGTGTGTCTGTGTGTGTATCTGTCTGTATGTGTGTGTGTCTGTCTGTGTGTGTCTGTGTGTGTGTATATGTGTGTCTGTGTGTATTCGTGTGTATGTGTATCTGTCTGTCAGTGTGTATGTGTGTATCTGTGTGTGTTTGTGTGTCTGTATGTGTGAAGATCCAGCTCCTTCCACAAAAGAAGCACATCCAGCCAGGCAGTAGTGGCATATGCCTTTAATCCCAGCACTCAGGAGTCAGAGGCAGGCAGATCTCTGAGTTCGAGGCCAGCCTGGTCTACAAAGCAAGTTCTAGGATAGCCAGTGCTGTGCAGAGAAACTCCGTCTTGAAAAACAAATTTTTTTAAAGCATACCCAGTAGTTGCTACTCCCAGGGTAGTTCACTGGTGCCCCATACCATGCTTTTCCTACTTCTGATATTGCCACAAGGTCTCTAGACTGTAGCGTAGGAAAACCTCCCAAGAATACAATATGGTCCTGAAGTCAGCCACTTTAAACTGAATTAAGTCTTTTCCCAGGAAAACTTGAATTGAAGGGAGGAAGTAGGAGAAGAGTCATCTAACAACAGGGAATGCTTCTCCTGTTCTTTCAAGCAAAACCCGATCAGACACTGCCATTTATAATCTTCCCACTACACGCTCCTGTACTGAAAGAAAGAAAGAAAGAAAGAAAGAAAGAAAGAAAGAAAGAAAGAAAGAAAGAAAGAAAGAAAGAAAGAAACAAGAAAGAAAGAAAGAAAGAAAGAAAGAAAAAGAAAGAAAGAAAGAAAGAAAGAAAGAAAGAAAGAAAGAAAGAAAGAAAGAAAGAAAGAAAGAAAGAAAGAAAGAAAGAATTTAAGAAAAAATGGCCAATGGCAGCATGTGAGGGTAAACTAAAGAACAGAGACCTGAAAATGGTCTGATAGAATAAAGTCGGGTGAAAAAATAAGCTCTCAGATTGTTTGGGTGCTGTGGTTCTATTTTTTGTAATGAAGGAAGTGTCTGAACCTACTTGATGTTCCCTGAAAGCAGATGTAGAGCTGAGACCAAGAACTGGAGAGGGAAGACGGGGACCAAATTTGCTTTCGACACTCTTGGGGAGACAAAGGAGGCAAAGGCTTTGCCAGTCACGGCCGCTCGGTGTGCAGCTGGCTACGAAAATGGCTTTCGCTTGGGAAGGATCGGGTTTGCTCACAATGACAATCTCCCTTCCTTCTTAAGACACCCAGGTGCCGGCCCACAACTTCTCCTCTAGCTGTGTTGTCAACAAAGCAAGGGAGGGGGATGCAGAGGAAAAACAGTGCGACGCCGATTCCGACACAGAAACATTAGGCGTCTGTCATTTCTTTAATGCAAGTGAACTGTGTGCTGCACAAGCATCCCCAGGAGGCTTGGCCAACCTTTACACTTCCTATTCAAAGGCAGGTTTTGTTCTTGAGAAGGCATGGCACAATTCTGTTAGCACATAGGGGTGCTGAAGAAAAGATAAAGTCGCTTGCGTCCTGTAAGGAAGAGAATAAGCAATCTCTAAAGGGCCAGTACATTCCTCAGAGCTCTGACTGCTGCCGTCAGATCCCTGCCATGGGGAAAGGTTAGAAAAGCCTGAAGCCTCCACAACGACGCCCTCGAAAGGAAGCAACCACCTAACCTGAGTGACTAGATTCTTATGACGCAGGATGCCCTGTGCTTACAGAAGGGTCCGGAGCCACTTATGGGGGCAGACATAGTTACCCCGCCCCCTCCACACACACACCTGCATTTCACCTTATCATCAGGAAGTTCCAGTTTTCTCATCTGGGTTTCCTGATTTCCACATTTCCTTATTTAGAATAACAATCAGCTAAACAGATTACAAATTTATATAGTCTCTGATAAATAAGGTTTAGGAAGGTAAGATCCCCACGTTACCAGTTCTACTTTCTGGTCATATTCTCCCTCCCCTCCTCACATACACACGCACACACACAATCTGTTGCCTGCTTAACCATATCAGAATGACAAGCAACATCTGTTTGTAAAAGAGCCAAAATCAAACCTTCATTTTTCGGGGCTCTATTTCTCTTCTCTTTCTCCCCTGACTCTAAAATCAGAGCGAGGGAGTAAAGGACAATGTTAAGATTTCATCAGATGTGGGCCCCAGGACAGTGTTATCTTGCCCCTCTGGTCTGGAAGGTAAGGTGGTTTCACTCAGTACAGCAGCATTTAAGGGTGTCTTCCTTGAGCATGCCCAGTTACACCAAACCCAGCCGAGCAAAGCCCGGAAAGTCAGGCTCTGCTAATAGCTTTCCAGTTATCTTCTGATCAGAACTGCAGCGGGGACTTTGGCATCAGGCAAGGAATGAAAAGAGAAAGGAAGACAAGGCAAAATGGGAAGGAGGAACAGAGAAGAGGGAGCTCATTTGTGTCTCCCCTCTTTGTGACACAGGATCATTTCACACATGTCACACACAGGAGCATGCAAGAGGGGCAGCTAGAGGCCTAGGCAGGAATTCATGAAACTGGCCATCAGCAAGGGGCTCTGTCTATGCCCTGCCCCCCCCCCCCAGAGACCTAGATTTCTGGAAAGTCTCCAATGATCCACAGACGCACAGTGCAAAGACTCAGAGCTGTGTCTGGGGGGGGGGGGAGGAGCTAGTAATGGAAGCCTTGCTCTTCAGCATAAAAGATTTTGCCCCAGCAGAAGGGAAAGAGGAGCCTGCTAAGACTCACAACTCCCATTTCACTTGGGATTTGGAAGAAACCCACACACACCGAGGGAGAAATAAATCCAGACAAGTTGCTAAGGAGACTTGTGTAAACTCCAAGCACAGACATATTTCTTGGCCTTTCCCCTGCACAGCATCTCGTATTCCAAGCACGCAGCTCTGCAGCAGCCTTGCAGCAACCTTCTGCATTCATCTTGGCCTTAGCCGAGCAGACTGGCAGAGCTCACTGGTTGGAGACATCACATTCTTCAAACTTAACGAGTTAAAGGTGTAGGGGTGTGTGTGTGTGTGTGTGTGTGTGTGTGTGTGTGTGTGTGTGTGTTTGTACGTGTGTGTATGTGTGTGTATAAAAGAGATGGGGGAGAGAGGAGAAAAAGAGTATGTATGTGTGTGAGAGTGTGTATATGAGAGTGTGTGTGTGAGAGTGTGTGTGCGTGCAAGTGTGTGTGTGTGTGTGTGTGTGTGTGTGAGAGAGAGAGAGAGAGAGAGAGAGAGAGAGAGAGAGAGAGAGAGAGAGTAGTTGTGGGGAGAAAGTAGAGGAATCTTAATTTGGAATTTTTAAAGTAACAGTGTTGAACAAGGAATATTTACATCGTGTATTTCAGGAGTAGAGAGGAAGTGGGTAGGTAAAGCGTGCAATTCTGGAAAATTCCCTTTGCCTGTACATTTGGCTTTTCTCTTTGCTCTTAGACTTTCCTCTCCTACACGTCCAGTTAAAATCCTGTCCTGTTGCACATGTAAACAGAACTTCTACCCCTGTACATGACCATGCGGGGACCCAGGTTTCTAGAACACAGCACATTCTATCAAGCGGGAACCTGCCCTTCTGCCTTCCTGCTCTGTGGAGTCCCACAGAGCTCAGCTCTTGCAAACACACCCACCGGGGCAATCCCGAAGGCCTGGAACTCCATCCTGCTAAAATGTGATGCCAGCCA